TACCATGTACAGACTTTAGCTGGGTCATGTGACTTGGAGGAGCTCCTCCTCCTGCATCATACCATGTACAGACTTTAGCTGGGTCATGTGACTTGGAGGAGCTCCTCCTCCTGCACCGTACCATGTACAGACTTTAGCTGGGTCATGTGACTTGGAGGAGCTCCTCCTCCTGCACCATACCATGTACAGACTTTAGCTGGGTCATGTGACTTGGAGGAGCTCCTCCTCCTGCACCATACCATGTACAGACTTTAGCTGGGTCATGTGACTTGGAGGAGCTCCTCCTCCTGCACCATACCATGTACAGACTTTAGCTGGGTCATGTGACTTGGAGGAGCTCCTCCTCCTGCACTATACCTTGTACAGACTTTAGCTGGGTCATGTGATTTGGAGGAGCTCCTCCTCCTGCTCCATACCTTGTACTGGTCTTTAGCTATGTCATGTGACTTGGACGAGCCCCTCCTCCTGCACCATACCTTGTATGGACTTTAGCTATGTCATGTGACTTGGAGGAGCCCCTCGTCCTGCACCATACCTTGTACTGGTCTTTTCTCACTCCCAGTCCCGTTTGGAAGAGCACAGCCGCCAGGAAGAGAGCGGGATGGTACCCCAAGCATCCCGCTTGTAGGAGTAGTGGCATGGACTTCCTAATATGTGACAGACCATCGGGGGCCAGGACTCTTCTCAGGTACATCCTGTGCAGGGCTTGTCCAAGTTGCTCACCAGTGAAGTTGGTACGACCTGATTTTAAAAAAAAATGAATTTGATGAAACACTATTGGCCCAAGCTGTGGGAGGAGTCATGGGGTCTGTGCAATTGCAGTAACTCTTAACATACAATCAGATGAAATCAGTCCTCCAAACTGAACAATGAAAGAGAACTTCTGCCCACCCCGCCTGCTGCAGGAAGTCATTCATTTAGTGGGTTCCCACTCCAGGCCACGCACCCACCCCTCCCCATTGGTTGCTAGGACACTAAAAGCCACCTGCATCCTAGCAACCAACGATCCATAACATAGTTCATTAATAACGTGCCCATAATCCAGGAGCACCGGGGATGTGCTTTGTGGTGAGTGAGTGGCAGCAATAGGATCAGCACACAGTTATTGTTGTCATTGGATCTACATCACTGGACGCCATTACTGATGATGGATCTGCATCACTGGACGCCATTACTGATGATGGATCTACATCACTGGACGTCATGATTGATGATGGATCTACATCACTGGACGCCATGATTGATGATGGATCTACATCACTGGACGCCATGATTGATGATGGATCTACATCACTGGACACCATTACTGATGATGGATCTACATCACTGGACACCATGATTGATGATGGATCTACATCACTGGACGCCATGATTGATGATGGATCTACATCACTGGACACCATTACTGATGATGGATCTACATCACTGGACACCATGATTGATGATGGATCTACATCACTGGACGCCATGATTGATGATGGATCTACATCACTGGACGCCATGATTGATGATGGATCTACATCACTGGACGCCTTGATTGATGATGGATCTACATCACTGGACGCCATGACTGGTGATGGATCTACGTCACTGGACGCCATGATTGATGATGGATCTACATCACTGGACGCCATGACTGATGATGGATCTACGTCACTGGATGCCATGACTGATGATGGATCTAAGTCACTGGACGCCAAGATTGATGATGGATCTACGTCACTGGACGCCATGACTGATGATGGATCTACGTCACTGGATGCCATGACTGATGATGGATCTAAGTCACTGGACGCCAAGATTGATGATGGATCTACGTCACTGGACGCCATGACTGATGATGGATCTACGTCACTGGATGCCATGACTGATGATGGATCTAAGTCACTGGACGCCAAGATTGATGATGGATCTACGTCACTGGACGCCATGACTGATGATGGATCTACGTCACTGGATGCCATGACTGATGATGGATCTAAGTCACTGGACGCCAAGATTGATGATGGATCTACGTCACTGGACGCCATGACTGATGATGGATCTACGTCACTGGATGCCATGACTGATGATGGATCTAAGTCACTGGACGCCAAGATTGATGATGGATCTACGTCACTGGACGCCATGACTGATGATGGATCTACGTCACTGGATGCCATGACTGATGATGGATCTAAGTCACTGGACGCCAAGATTGATGATGGATCTACGTCACTGGACGCCATGACTGATGATGGATCTACGTCACTGGATGCCATGACTGATGATGGATCTAAGTCACTGGACGCCAAGATTGATGATGGATCTACGTCACTGGACGCCATGACTGATGATGGATCTACGTCACTGGATGCCATGACTGATGATGGATCTAAGTCACTGGACGCCAAGATTGATGATGGATCTACGTCACTGGACGCCATGACTGATGATGGATCTACGTCACTGGATGCCATGACTGATGATGGATCTAAGTCACTGGACGCCAAGATTGATGATGGATCTACGTCACTGGACGCCATGACTGATGATGGATCTACGTCACTGGATGCCATGACTGATGATGGATCTAAGTCACTGGACGCCAAGATTGATGATGGATCTACGTCACTGGACGCCATGACTGATGATGGATCTACGTCACTGGATGCCATGACTGATGATGGATCTAAGTCACTGGACGCCAAGATTGATGATGGATCTACGTCACTGGACGCCATGACTGATGATGGATCTACGTCACTGGATGCCATGACTGATGATGGATCTAAGTCACTGGACGCCAAGATTGATGATGGATCTACGTCACTGGACGCCATGACTGATGATGGATCTACGTCACTGGATGCCATGACTGATGATGGATCTAAGTCACTGGACGCCAAGATTGATGATGGATCTACGTCACTGGACGCCATGACTGATGATGGATCTACGTCACTGGATGCCATGACTGATGATGGATCTAAGTCACTGGACGCCAAGATTGATGATGGATCTACGTCACTGGACGCCATGACTGATGATGGATCTACGTCACTGGATGCCATGACTGATGATGGATCTAAGTCACTGGACGCCAAGATTGATGATGGATCTACGTCACTGGACGCCATGACTGATGATGGATCTACGTCACTGGATGCCATGACTGATGATGGATCTAAGTCACTGGACGCCAAGATTGATGATGGATCTACGTCACTGGACGCCATGACTGATGATGGATCTACGTCACTGGATGCCATGACTGATGATGGATCTAAGTCACTGGACGCCAAGATTGATGATGGATCTACGTCACTGGACGCCATGACTGATGATGGATCTACGTCACTGGATGCCATGACTGATGATGGATCTAAGTCACTGGACGCCAAGATTGATGATGGATCTACGTCACTGGACGCCATGACTGATGATGGATCTACGTCACTGGATGCCATGACTGATGATGGATCTAAGTCACTGGACGCCAAGATTGATGATGGATCTACGTCACTGGACGCCATGACTGATGATGGATCTACGTCACTGGATGCCATGACTGATGATGGATCTAAGTCACTGGACGCCAAGATTGATGATGGATCTACGTCACTGGACGCCATGACTGATGATGGATCTACGTCACTGGATGCCATGACTGATGATGGATCTAAGTCACTGGACGCCAAGATTGATGATGGATCTACGTCACTGGACGCCATGACTGATGATGGATCTACGTCACTGGATGCCATGACTGATGATGGATCTAAGTCACTGGACGCCAAGATTGATGATGGATCTACGTCACTGGACGCCATGACTGATGATGGATCTACGTCACTGGATGCCATGACTGATGATGGATCTAAGTCACTGGACGCCAAGATTGATGATGGATCTATTGATGATGGATCTACATCACTGGTCACCATGATTGATGATGGATCTACATCACTGGTCACCATGACTGATGATGGATCTACATCACTGGACACCATGATTGATGATGGATCTACATCACCGGACGCCATGATTGATGATGAATCTACATCACCGGACGCCATGACTGATGATGGATCTACATCACTGGACGCCATGATTGATGATGAATCTACATCACTGGACGCCATGACTGATGATGGATCTACATCACTGGACACCATGATTGATAATGGATCTACATCACTGGACACCATGATTGATGATGGATCTACATCACTGGACGCCATGATTGATGATGGATCTACATCACTGGACGATGTGATTGATAGGTCTGTATCGCTGGATGACTTGATTGGTGATGGATCTACACTGTAGGGACACTTTTTATTTATCTAAATTGTCTTTGTGTTTAATCACTATAGAATTTTTGTACCACAGCTACCGGGGTACTGTGTACATCTCATTAATTTACCTGGGGGGACGGGTGGGGGATACCTGGGTTAGGTATGAGGCTTTTGTCATCCAGATCAACATCTCATCAACAAGGGGACAAGATGTCTTACACCAGGAATGGGGGGCTTTCTGCTAACCCCCCACCGCCCTCAAGACAGAGTACCCGCCCCCTTTTTAAGGGTATGTGGCCTGGTATAGTTCAGGAGCCAGCGTGACCCACATGCACCCCCCCCTTCCTGGCCAGCCAGGCTACATGGCTAGATAAAGGAGTAGTGTGGATTTTGGGAAGGGGGCTGTGAACTCACCTCCCTGAGTGGCTCTCTTCTTCAGCAGGCTGGTAATTAACACTCTGTGGGGGGGAGCTGGTCCTTCCCACTCTGAGCACTGCGGAAAGGTATGTGACAGCATGTAGCGAGCGATGACATCACTATAGGGGTCTCTGCAGTCTCCTGGTGACACAGCAACAGGAAAAAAAATCAGCCAATAAAAATGAAGAAATAATAATAATTTGTCTCGGCATCAGATTGAACTTTTTATGGTATGTGCAGCACGCTCAGGAATGTGTCATGTGACCCTTCTAGGAATTTATTCCCTCTCCCCGAGAGCACAGGACTCCCCCTGACAATGTCTTCATCTGCTTTTCTCTGCAGCAGTGATTGGTTGGAGGGGTTCTCTGCTGTGATTGGTTGGAGGGGTTCTATGAACTGATTGGTTGCTGGGGTTGTCTGCAGTGATTGGATGGAGGGCTATTGAAGATTAAGTCCTGATGTCCAGCAACTAAAAACCAGCTAGAAATGAGCTACAAGGAAGCTCCTCTGAGAGTCAGAAGCAGCCCAGAGTGAGGACAGGGAAGGAGAGAACTACAGCCATGAGGTGCACTGGTGAGTTACAGAGGACTGTCTATGGTGGAGGCCCTGTAGACCATTTGACACCTGAACACATTGGTGAGTCACAGAGGACTGTCTATTGTGGAGGCCCTGTAGACCATTTGACACCTGGGCATACTGGTCAGTCACAGAGAGCAGTCTATGGTGGAGTCCCTGTAGACCAATTGACACCTGAGCACATTGGTGAGTTACAGAGGGCAGTCTATGGTGGAGGCCCTGTAGACCATTTGACACCTGAGCACATTGGTGAGTTACAGAGGGCAGTCTATGGTGGAGGCCCTGTAGACCATTTGACACCTGAGCACATCAGTGAGTCACAGAGAGCAGTCTATGGTGGAGGCTCTGTAGACCATTTGACACCTGAGAACATTGGTGAGTTACAGAGGGCAGTCTATGGTGGAGGCCCTGTAGACCATTTGACACCTGAGCACATTGGTGAGTTACAGAGGGCAGTCTATGGTGGAGGCCCTGTAGACCATTTGACACCTGAGCACATTGGTGAGTCACAGAGGACTGTCTATGGTGGAGGCCCTGTAGACCATTTGACACCTGGGCATACTGGTGAGTCACAGAGAGCAGTCTATGGTGGAGTCCCTGTAGACCATTTGACACCTGAGCACATTGGTGAGTTACAGAGGGCAGTCTATGGTGGAGGCCCTGTAGACCATTTGACACCTGGGCATACTGGTGAATCACAGAGGACTGTCTATGGTGGAGGCCCTGTAGACCATTTGACACCTGAGCACATTGGTGAGTTACAGAGGGCAGTCTATGGTGGAGTCCCTGTAGACCATTTGACACCTG